GCTACAGATAGGTTTTAGAGTACCTTGCAATGCTGCAAAAATGACACAGAAACTTGTAGGAAGACAAATTTGTTTGGCTGCTTCTCACTTGAGATGTGGTGCCAAAATAATTAAAATGGGTGAGCTAATTTAATTATGCTAGTCAGATTCTTCGTTACAGGCAGCAACTTCCAGATGCTCCAGAAGAAATCTGTCATGTCTACAGAGTAATGATTGCTGTTTGTGGTGGGAACAGAACAGTTTGCCTTAAGCATCTGTGTGAATATAATGTTGACTTAAGTTTCATGAGCATTTCTTAATATTAAGAGGCCTTTTTGAAAGCTGCAGGTCATCCTTTTTGCCAGCTTTAAGAAGTAAAACTGAGCAAACAGCTGATGCTGGTACTGCAGCCTTAGCAATATGCTAGAAAGGGTATTTTACAGGTGGAGGTTATACAAATAAACTGAGGATGTGGGAGCTGCTAGATTCCCAGCTGGTAGGTGATTTCCTTTTAATCTGATTAAGTGACTTCTTTTCCCAAGTCTTTTGTATATAGTGTTTTGAAAAATCATAGCAGGGAATATAAAACCAATTAAAAAAATAATTGCATTTTTTAAGCAAAAGATTTTTCAGATTATAGATTCTGTTTGACTTACTAGACATAATTCCATTAGTGAATAATTCATGCCATTTATTGTTGCTGTATTTATTTGCTGAGCTGAAATACCCTGTCTCAGCATGCTGGAGCTCCAGAGGGCATGCCAACCTTGTGTGGAGGAGCATGGACAGACATTACCAAGGTTTCTATGAGGCTGCTGGGGGCAGAGCTGGTAGTAGTCTTTCTGCAGATTAACAGGGCTGATTAACATTGGCTCAGACCTGGAACTGGTATATCCTGCAAGCCAGTCTTGTGTCTTCTCCTCTGTGGTGTGTCAGATGGATATGCTCTGGGATTCTGGCCTTCTTTCGCCTTTGCTTTGTCTTGGGACCACCCAAAAGCAGTTATATGCCCGAGGAGCAAGTGCGTCTCTGATCCCTCACCCACGGCACCACCTGCCACCTGCATCCAGCTTTGTGACAAATGGCTTGGAAGAGAGAGGACTTAGAATCATGCCTTGCTGTGTATGGGCATAGCCAAATTGTCTTAAATTCTCTCATTGATGTTTCGGTGGTTGGCACATAGTGCTTTATCACATTCATTTGAAACCTTTTGGCTTGATATTGCGTGCTTTTTAAATGCCATGCAGCAACTTACTCAGGTCTGGTATAGATGTTTCAGGAGACCTTTCACTTTCCTACTAGTTGTCAGTGCTCCAGCCTAGGATTTCACTCTGCTCCCTTCTATGAAGCTCAATCTTCCTATACTGTTCCCTGATCACTTTGGCAATGAAAACCATGAAGTACATGGAATTGGAGGTGTTTGTACTTTAGAGGTGACTCGTGGATTGGTGCCTGGAGTGGGATGTCCTAGGGGAGCCTAACTCTTAAAGTTCATTGCTTCTGCTGGGATGGGCCCCTAGAGGAGCTGCAGGATGAGTACCCATGGTTGCCTTTTGCTTTTTGGTTGCAGTTGCGTCTGCCTGAAGAGCTGACTTCTGGCCCTGATGTAAAATGCATGGCTATGAGCCCTCCCAGTTTCTGAGATATGAGTGATGCAAAAGAGGTTTTCAGCTTTTACTTCCTGCAAGTAATGTGCAGACATAGAGGAA